TGTTCCTCCTACAAACAACAACAGTGATGACCTCCAGGTCACTGGCATTCAAAGAAGAATTTCTTCCCAGCCACTGAGGATAAACAAAATCCTTTCTGCAAACACCTTACTGAGGAGTAGACTGACAAGAGTCCTAGACCCTGGCTACTCTGACTACTGATCTGGTACGTTGTTTCCTAATGGAGCATGTCACAAAACCCTGTCACACAACCAACCCGTGCATCCATCCATCTGTGTGTGCACCTCAAAAGCATGGCAATAACGTAGAGAAATTACTGGTCTCCCATAAAGCAATCAGTGTTCCACGTGCATAATTTGTTCCACCTGCCATTTTTATAAGGCACCCCTAGGAGAGCTAGCTTAAAACCAGCAATCCATCTGCCTCCCATTTCTAAGGGGTAATTATTGCCTCAACTAAGCAAAGAGGAACACAGCGTGCTGCTAACCATGGCAGGTGACTGACTGACCTACGAACCCGTAACTGGGACCTGGGGGATGATCGCTCAAGTCAGTAGGCTTTCCAGCACTGGTTGAAGACGTGGAATGATGATAAACACAATTCATTACCCACAAGACAAAAAAATAAACAGAGGTCCAGATCCGAGGGAATACACCCAGATCACAAACCCGAGACATGGGCTTCCTCACTTCTTGTGGGATTGTTAAAAACATGAAAACATGGTGACTTTGTGCCAAAACACTGCTGGTTAAAAAAAAAAAAACCCAAACAAAAATTTTTAAAAAGCTTGATGTAAAAAAGGACAAAGCTGGTATTCTGTTTCTATGAAATAACTTCTCATTAAATGTTCCTGTCTTCATTAAGCATTTTTTTAATTAAAGCATTAACAATATTTTACTTGTTATGAATACTAACAGATGCTGGTTTGCAATAAAATATATACTTAGGGAGCTCTGGTGGCCTAGTGGCAAGAAGCTGCACTGCAATTTCAGAAATACGCAGTTTGAATCCACCAGATGCTCTGCTGGAGAAGGAGGTGCAATCTCCTCCTGTACCAGTCAGATCCGATTTGACGATACACACACAAAAAGTAATAAAACAAAAAATAAAAAAACCCCAATTTAAATAAATAAATAAATAAAATATAAACGTAACCGTCTCCCACTAAGGTGGCAGTGACTAACATTGAATATGGCCATGAGAAACTGACTGGACGCCTGAGTGATGATCCAAGACATATCCGTGCTGAGGAATTGCACTAAACACATTCTATCTTCAAAGAAATCCTGCTCCTAAGAAGCTATTAAAAGAAGAGCTCTTCGGGGACACCCTCCCAATGAATTGCAAAAGGTCGCACTCAACTCCTTCCCTCTGAAATAAGAGAGACATAACACGCCAATTAGCATATAGAATATCAAGTTATTAAATGTTCCCTGTCCATGTACCCATGGGGAAGAAGAGGGGAGGAGAAAGGGAAAGGAGAGAGTAGGTAAAAACGGACGAGTCACTCTGCAAATTGTTCCCAGACCTCTACATCTCATAGATCTGTAACATGAAAGCAAAAAAGCATGGGATGGGGTGTGGCAGAAACCCCAGCATGGAACAGTCATTTACTTTTAGTGAGGTAAATAACCACCATTTATTATCATGATGATTTTTTTATAATACAAATGACAGGAAAGATTGCTTAGAAAAGTACTCTCCTCCACTGAGTAAACTTAACTTCAGGTTAACTCACCTTCTTTTAAAAACATGATACCTTAGGACATGATGCTCTGCATAAAAACTGCCTTTGATACAGATTTGACGACACTTTCACTCATAAGTCTCCAAAGGGAACTTTCAAATTCAGATTGAATATCTAGTTCATGTTATGTGTTACTGAGTTAGAAGCAACTCACAGGTGACCCTCCAGTGGATTATCAGAGGCTGTAAATCGAACAGGAGGAGATTACCCATCTTTCTCCCGCAGAGCAGCTGGTGGATTTGAATTGTGTGCCTTATATATTTTATGAGTTTTTATATTTTATGCAGACACGCATATATGTATATACACACACGTACAGAATTATATCTGAGTAACAACTTCCTCCACAATTTCACTACCAGGAGATAGGACTCTTCCTGTCTCCAGAATTGCAGCACAGCTTCTTGCCACGAGGGCCAACACAGCTCCCTCCTCAACCAAGGCAAGTTCCCACTCATATTAGTGAACACTGACAAAGACTGACAATGAGGTCAATTCTTCCAGAATGATTCCTGTCAGATTATAAAGTTATGAAGGCAATGGATGACACTTCTAATTATTTTACTTTTGTTCTAGCAAGGGACAGTACTTTTAATGCTTTTTTTTTTTTAGTGCCTTTAATTCCTTGTGCTTTGAACTGCCATGATTAAGCAGGGAATACATATTTTGATTTTTTGCTTTAAAGTGGCTAGATGAAAATCAGCTATTCCCCGTGCTGGCTGGACAAGTTTCACAACCTCTGCTTCACTAATGTTCCCCATTGCAGCAAACCCATTTATTTCCCATCTACCAACTGACCTCCTAAAGCATCATTAACATGCCCCCAAAGGCCCAGAGCCTGTCTATTTTAGTCAGCACAGCCCTCTGCGCCTCTGTGGGGTTTATCAGAGCTCTGTAGGAAAGGGAAACAAGGAAGAGAAGGGACCAGGACCCAGATATTGGCAAATGGCCAAGCATGGGAAGATGAGCGAGGAGAGAACGAAGCCCAGGAATGAAGGGATTCCTACCGGGGGTAGATAATGCAAAGCTGAATATTGAAAGGTAGGTTTATAGAGGCCCGTAATTATAAGCTTCTGCCACTCAATTCTCAGCTAGTTAATGGCAGAAGGATCAATATCTACTTTCGATTTTCATGTCCAGCATTATGGCCTCAGTGGGAGACAGGCCTCCTGGGGGAAAAGCGACGATGCAGAAAATGGGACCCTGAGAGAATGTTCAGGAACAAAATGAATCTTTTTATTGGTTTTCTTTGTATTTTCTAAAACACATCTGGCATCTTTCTCTAGTTTAGTTTGGTCCAATTTTCCCTTGTTTGTGAAAACACTACTCATCCTGAAGTGAATCATAGAGAAATCCAGTTATGTGAAGGGGAGATCAGGAATAAATGTGGAATTGAGTTAGGTAAACAAAGCCGTGTCCGTGTGAAATGATGTCCCCAGGGTTCATCTGCACTCACCCGGAGTGAGCCCCGAGCTCCAAAATGGAGTGAAAGTAAACACATTACATTCTGCAAACAGGCCTCTCAGTTCTAGGAATCTAAACTTGCAGCCTGTCATTTTCACTTCATGGCAATGTATCAAGCAAGCCATCAGTGTTTTACCATCTTAACTGGGATTTGTAGCATTCAAACGGCAAGAAGTCTCGAGAAATAGTGTTACTATCTTTCCCCTCCCAGAATTAAACAGAGCAAAATTAGGCAAGACAGTATTTCTAAATCACCCATGGAATAAACTATTTTGTGAGAGTAATTATTTTAAAGCCATGCTTACAGTAAATTCAAGAAAAAAAAAAGGAATTAGGTGCAGCACTAACTATAATGGGATGTTATATACTATTACGGTATTTTCATTCACATGCCCCTTCTCATAAATGTTTCAAATTCTCTAAATAAATTCTCAAAAATGATCTATGTATTCTTAACATAATTGAAACCGAGGCCTTCCTTGAAATCTTCCCTCAGTTTGTAATATTTCCTCAAAGAACCCAAATCCTTCTAAATCAAGGGCTTAAAGGTTATGAAGAGACAGTGGTAGCACCTTTAGGAGTTATCAAGAGAGGTGAATCCTTATCAAATATGCTCACAACCTTCAGGAAACATCCTTGATCAGGTAACAAAACTAATATCTAACATTCATTTATTAAGCACAATCCAACTCTGGGGACCAGCAGTCAGGAAAGGAAAAAGACATATTGCATTGGTAAAGTCTGCTATTAGGAACCTCTCCAAAGTAGTGAGGAGCAATGATGCCAGTTTAAAGACTAAGGTGTGTCTGATTTAAGACATGATCTTTTCAATTACTTGCTATGCATCTGAGAGCTGGACAAGGACTGAGAATGACAGAAGAATTGATGCATTTGAGCTGTAGTGTTGGAGAAGGGTGCTGAACATCCTTTGGACTGCCAAAAGGACACATAAGTATGCTCCTTGGAGGCAAGGATAGTGAAAGTTCATCTCAAATACTTCGAGTATACTCTTGGATGCGGCCAGGCCTTGGAAACGGACATCATCCTTGGATAGGTGGAGAGTCAACGAAAGAGAAGACCCTCAATGAGATAGACTGACACAGTGACTCGAACAGTAGGCTCCAGTGTGGTAGAAATGATGAGGATGGCACAGGATAGGACAGGGTTCAGATCCATTGTTTACAGTGTCGCTATGACTCTTGTCAATTCAACCATCACTTAACAACAACATTAGTCCAGGCACTAGGACATTTACGCACATGTTCTCATTTAACCTCATGGGGACTCTACAAAGGTAGACAATGTCATCACATCCTATGATGTAACAACTGAAGTTGAAGGAGGTTAAGCAATTTGCCCAACGTCACACAGGCAGGAGTGGTGAAAGGACCAGGGATTCCAGCTTAGGCCTGGCAGGTTACAATGCCCAACCCTGGGCCGTGGGATCTAATCTTCCTTGATATTCATCTCATGAAAGAGGAGTAGCTTTGACTGTGGAGAACGCATGATCAGAAGGGCATATAGGCTTAAAGACATTCTTAGTGTAAAGTGCAATCAGACAGATTTTTCCAGGTTTAACAAAGCAGCACTTTTTTAAAAAAAAATACTAGAAAGTGAGATTTTTCATTCTAAATGATAAACTAGAATGCACAGAAAAACAGGTATGGAAGACCATTAGGTTGGACCACATGAAATTGCCAGAGTATTTGAGTCAAAATGACCCCAAAGTTTCAAATTTACTGGCGTCATCCTGACAGCAGGACCAGTCTATTCACAATCCACCCACATCCTGCCCACCTCGTGCCAGGGGCTGGCCTGTGGATACTGTACCTGAACAGAAGCTGTTGCTGCTCACGGTCCTTGCGGAGCGTCCAGAGCTGCTAGGGTTGAACTCTCTGCTCTCTTCCTCAGAAAAGGGAGACTCGGAGGCTGGGGACACTTTGTGCTGCTGCTGGGGCAGATGGGGCCGCAGAATCAAACGGGGAATTCGGCTTCGTGAAAGCTCCTTCTCGTGGTGCTGCACTCTCTGCTCCTTCTCAAAATTGGACATAAAAAAGGAAACAAAAGAAAGATCCGTTCCCCTCTGAACACCTGCCTGCTCTTTCCGGGTTCAGTGTCTAAGATTTTATTTCTTACTACTGGATCTTCACAAAGATTTACAGTAATCCTTCCCCCCCACCCCCCGCCCCAGAAGTTAAAATGAGCCTTAAACTCTTCAACTCAACTAACACTTCTAATACGCTCAAGTCTGTCCCTCTCTCCCCGCCCCCCTCCAAGAACAAGTCTGAAGTTCCCCTGACTCTCCTAGTCCTGATTCATCTTCCAAACTCGGGCTTTCCCCCCTAAGCTTTTGGCTCTCTCAGACCATCACCACCTTCAACCCACTAGCCTGACTGATTTCTTCTAGACTTCCATTTTGGTTTTCCTGAAATAGTTGAGACAGTCTGATTTCCCTTCATTGTCTCCTCATCAAGTAGATCTCTACACCTGAAACAGTTCTTTCTTGATAGATCGCACAGCCTTATCTTTCAAATCCCTCCTCTTCCAGCCAGGCTCTTAATTATTCATTAATATCCTGGTACACACACGGCTTCTTGCCAACAGAAAAGCAAACAAATATCCAATTCCCTGTAAAATGGCTCCACCTCTTTGCATCATGTTTAGCTTCTGTCTTCTTTACAGGGCACTCCAAAGAGAAGAAATTCTTCTTTCTCTTTTTAAAACACCTAGCATTAAATACACAGAACCACGCCTCCATCAAAACACCAGAACATGCATTAAAGAGTAGGGTTCCGGCAGTTTTCTCATTCAAGAAATACCTGTCCAAACATTATCTCATTTGATTCTTACACCCTGGATTATACTCGGGAGAGGGGCTTCCCAATTTACAGATGAGGTGACTGAGGCTTGCCTCGGAGGGGAAGATGCTTGCTAAGACTGCACATTTTCTGGAAGCAGCGCTTTTCACGTGCACCACCACCCTGCTTCATTAAAATGGATTCCTAGGGGGAGTTCCTTGCAGAAAAACCTCACTACTCCCTCCAACCTCTGCAACTGAAAAAGGGCTTTGGATTAGGTAACAAACACCATTTTGCAACATGACCTCCCGCTCCTCGTTTCCACAAGGCTTAACAGGGAGGGTCACGGCCAAAGTAAACACCTCCCAGGTCCACACTGCAGCGATTGAAGGGAGAGCCTCTGTGGTCCCGGGAACTCCTGGGTCGCCCAGTGCACACTCCGTGCACCGCGGCAAGCCGCACCCCAGGGCTGGAAGTGTGTGACACACACGTCACCCAGCAGGGCGCATGCCAGCCAGTCCCCCGTGCAAACCGCGCACCCTGGCCAGTGCTGGTCACTGTCACGCTGGACTGCCTATTTCTTAGTCACCATACATCAAATTCCTTTGGCTGACATCACCCGTGGAGCATCCACAGGGAGGTAGATTCCTAATCTCCAACATCAGAAGATGAAATTAGCCCTCCAAACTCTATCTTTTTAATCCCCGCGCCAACCCCCCAGATCTGGTTCTCGGCTTCCACCTCCCTAAACCCCAGCTCTCCACACGTGCACAGTAAGTCCTTGGTGCCCCCCGCTACCCCCTTCACCCCACTCTCCAGGCTAGCCTCCGGCGCTCACCTGGCCCGCTCCCTGCCCGCAGCACCCGCCCTCCTCCTCTCCCTGTTGCCCGCAGACACGACCCCCGCGCCCTACGCCGTGTCCCCCTTACCTTGGTCTCTCGGAGGGGCCCCATGGCGCCGCTGCCCACCGAGTCCTCGCGTCGCCGCTGCCGCCGTCCGGGAGGAGGCACCTGCGCGCACCGGGCCGAGGAGACTGCGTTGAGCCGCGTGGCCTGCGGGCGGCGGCTGCTGTGGTCCTCCGCGCCTCCACCGTCCGCTCCCCACTCGGCTCCACCGGCGCGCGCCCGCCGCCCCGCCCTGACTGGACACGTGGTGCCGCTGCCTCGCCCCGGGCACCTCCCCCGGCCGCCCTCACCTGCGGGGCACCCCGCCTCCCCCACGCAGCTGGCACCGCCCCCCCTCCCCGCCGCAGCCCCGCCCTCCCGGCCTGGCTGGGTCGGAGCGCCGCAGGCTGGGGCCAGGGGCATCCCCAGCGTCAGGGTGTCCCCTCCCCTCTGTTCCAACACCTGGTACCCCGTGCGCACTGGGGCACTGGGCGCGCGTCCCGAGGAGCTGAGAAAAGCTGCGAGGACCCTGAGAGCCAAAATGGAGAAAGAGGCAAAGTTTCTCCCTCTAGCCCCTCCCTGCCCAATCTGTTTCCAGTTCACGGTACCCAGAGCCGAAACCATGCCCCTTGCCAGGCAAGCGACCTTATAGGAAAGAGGGGAGCCGCCCCCTAGGTCTCCCAATGCTGTCATCTTTAGGGAAGCCACACCTTTTCCCTTTGGAGCTTCTGGGTGGGTCCCCACCACTGACCTTTTGGTTGGCAGCCCAGCGCTTTAACCACCGCGCCATCAAGGCTCCTTTAGTCAATGTACAGCGCCCTACAGTTGCCTCACCCTAGAAAGAGACAGGGCGGGTCCGGGTCCGGCCTGGGGCCAAGCCAGTGCTGCAGGCAGCCTGACACAGCAGATGCGCGGAGGGATCTCAAAGGCTGAGATTCTTTGCAGATTTGCATCAGAAGAGCCTTGGGTTGGCAGCTCCGCAGGCAAAGCCCAGTGAGGCCCTACTCCCCCCTCCTGGGCTTCTGAAAACCAGACTCTTGGGAAGAATACCTGTCTGCCCAGAGCCCAGAATGTGCCCATGCACATGGCAAAAGGAAGGACTCAGAGAAGTGGGGTCAAGTTGGCATTCTTCTCCTTTCTGTATATTTAAAATTCTTGGCCTCTGAATTTGAAATATAATCTTATAAATTTGAAAGATAGTAATAAGAGTTATCGTGTTGAGCCATGGACTGCCAACAAACAAATATGTCCTGGAGAAGGTGCAGTTAGGGTGTTCTCAGAAGCAAGGAGGTGTCTGTATTGATGTCAGTATTTTGGGCATGTTGTTTGCAGGAGTTAGTCTTTGTAAAAGGATATCATGCCTGGAAAGGTGAAGGGTCAGCAAAGAGAGGAAGGCCGTCAATGAGATGGGCTGAGCAAGGGACTGCAGCAGTGGCATGTCAGATGATTAATATGGCACAGGGTCAAGATCTCATGTTCATGTGGTCCTTACGAGCTTGTAATGACCCTGACAGCACCTAACAAGAATAAGAATTCTGGCCTCAAAGGGTAGCTGTAAGGATTAGACAACAAACAGCTGACCAGTATTTTCCAAAAGGCACTTAACCCAGGTAGTCCATGGGACATCTGTTAACAGTCTTTGTGTTTCAGGATTGGCAGACTGCAGGCCAGGCTCCTAACTGGGTCACTAAGCAGGGAGCAAGATGGGGAGTCTTCAGTGGAGGGAACAGTTTATCCAGAGGTGGAATGCAACATGTTTAATATCTTAAATGGCCTTTATTCAGAATTCTATATTCTAAGTAGCAAAGCAGAAGCGAACAGTCTAGTCTGGTCCTTACATGCCTGTGTCCTACTTGCCAAGACTGCGATCTTTGAAAACAGGATTTGGACCTCTACCTTCAATACTTGTCCTCCATCAAAACAGCATGTCCCCAGGTCTCACCCGTCAAGTCAAGCTTAGGAGCTGACAGGGAAGAGTGCACACAGCCTGATTCAGCAATCATTCCTACACCCCTCAAGATATTTTTCTTCTTCCTACCAGCCTCAAGAAATTTCACTCCATAAACCACATCTTTCCAATGACTTAGATCCCTTTTTGCAAGTAATACTAGAACACTTTCTTTGTGGGAAGGGATTAATGCGTACTTCCTTCTAGCCATGAAAGGAAGCCTGATAAAGCGTATCAAGCATTGTAAGTTTGAATCCACCAAAGACTCTGCGTGAGAAAGATTGTCTGGCTTCCTAAAAAGATTTGCAGTCTTGGAAACACTATTGTTGCTGCTATGTGCCCTCGAGTGGGAACCCCTAACTGACCTGCCAGCAGATTTTCATAGGCTGTAAATTGTAGGAGAGAAGATTGCCTATCTTTCTCCCATGGAGCTTGGGTGGATTCGAACAGCCTGCCTTTGTGCTGGCAGTGCAACTCCTTACCACTAGGCCACCAGAGCTCCCTTATTGAGAACCCTATTGGATAGTTCAATTCTGTCCTATCAGGTCACTATGAGTCAGACAGAGTCCACACAGTGGAAGAGAGTTTTTCGTACTATATACATGACCTTCTCAGAAATGGGCTTTAGCCAAGTCCTCACCCAGAATATTTTATATAAGCTCTTATTTTAAAAATTATGATCCTGGGATGTATACAGTATGACAGAACAGAGGATTAAGGTCAAATGATGTTTCTGAGAAGTGCTTTACTGATAGTTTTCAGAACCTCTCAGACCCAAACTTCTCAGAGTCATCTTATGTTCTCACTCTTACCTCACTCCCTAAATTAATAGCAATCACTATGTGATCCCCAGGCAGCTCTGTGGCCTAGTGGCAAGAAGGTGTGCTGCAATCCAGAAGGCATGTGGTTCGAGGCCACCAAACTGCTCTGCAGGAACAGGATGGGCAATCTCTTCCCGTTCAATAAAACTCACTGGAGTGTCAGCTATGGGTGGGTTCCAACTCTAAGGTACACAATAGCAACATGTGATCCTCACACTTCCTGATTAATAAATGCCTTAAATCTGACTGCCTCTTCCCAACAGCCGCTACCTTTATTTAGAAGCCAGGCCATCATTCTGGATTACAGCATAGTTGTCTCACTAGAACGATCTTGTTTCCAACCATTCCTTACTCTTCTCTAATAATTTTTTTCAAAGAAGCCAAAGAGATCTTCCAAAGGTCAGAGCAAACCATACTTCTTCATTAAAACCCATTAATGACTTCCTGGTTATCCTGCAGATAGATTAAAACTCCTCAACGTGGCATCCAGGCCTCTGAGGATTTGCCCTGAAGTAGTATCCCCAGCCTCATTTTTCAAGTGGTAGACCTTTCAGTTCTCTAGAAATGTCAGTTCATTTTTCTCCCCTACTCTGCTGCACTTAGTAGGAATTTCCTGCATCCAATTTATCTACCCTCATCAACTCCTAAAGTTTTACTGTTGAGACAGCTTCTTTCAGAAAACCTTTCCAGATCCCCAAAGAAAGATTAGGCTCTTTTTATGGGTACTTGGTGGACACCTGTATTTATTTACATCAGGAGAGCTCTTATGACCTCAGATTAGAATTCCTCATTTACTCATCTGTCACATAGCACACACACAACACAACACAACACAACGTTGAGTAATTAAACGAATGGATACCTTCTAACCCTCTGAGAAGGGATCCATCGGTAAAATGTAAAACAAAAACCCCATATAGACTATCAACTAATGCCTTGGAAACCACTCAGCCTCTACTACGCCTTTGTATTTGCTGATGGGGTGTGTGCCTAAAAAATCCAAAATGTGTGCAGTGAAAGCTTTTACTGCAGAAGTGCAGCCTTTGAGAGGTTCTGCATAGCCCTGTTGTCACCATAGCAACCCTGCCCAGGGAAAGGCTGACGACTTGGTGTTCAGACGCCTCTTAGCTCTGTACTTTTGGAACCCAAGCCTGTTTTTCCGCTGTTCTAAAAGGCAAGTTTTACAAATGATAATATCTCTGCTGCCTTTAATGTCATTCAAGTTGTCTCTCATAGCATTAGGAGGATTGTCTTATGTTAGGACTAGAGCATCAAAGAGATAGAATCGAATCCAGCATCTTCTATTCATCTATCATCTGCTTCAAAATATTCTCACGCCTCATTTTCATTTTCTGCTTAAAAACCCATTTTATTGTCTTATATCGTAATTGTGTGGTCTTGCCTTTTTTTAAAAAAAATAAATTTATTGCTAGTGTTTCGGAAAACAACTGCTTGAATAGAACAGAACTCTTAAAGACGAGATGATAAATAACATACCTTGTCGAGGTCTGGGAGAGCAGGGGAGATGAGTATTGTAGACTGAGAGAAAAGAGGTGCATCTGTATGAGTATGTCCCAAACTAGGGACAAGGATATAGTTTCTTCGTTTATGAGAAATTTGTTTTTCAGTTCGGAGATTGATAGCTTTCAATGACACAAAACTTTGTCTTTGCAGTGCTCTTTCATAGAAATGCTCATCTCTGATCCTCACAACAAATTCTCTGAGCTTATTATGTGGCCTGTCTCTGAGGCCAGGCAAAGGATAGAAAGAATAGGTTTTAATTGATAGGAGCTTCTCCCACCCAAGAATGCAAACTTCACAGAAATGGCAATGTAATTGCGCTGCCCCGGAGACAATACCCGCACCCCTCAGCCGCGGGCCCCCCAGTCACTGCTGCTCCCATCTCACCTGCCTGCAGGGGCCTTTCTGGGGCTCAGTCAGGGCTGACAAAGCACCACCTCCCAGGCCTATCAGCTGTGCGAGCCAGTGCTGCTGCCTCTCCCCGACCCCACGTTGGGTGATCTGCACAGCAACAAGGAGCCGTTGATGTGTTTCACCACACGTCACCCAGAAAAGAAACTGTGTGCTGGGGCATCCTGGGATTTTTTTCTCTCTCCTTTTTTTTTTTTTGAGTGGGGTGGAGACTCCTATTTTTCTTACCAGAAAGCGAGAACTGCTCCTTTTCCTGTAAGAGCTGTGTGTGTGAGTGATCAACCCTCCTTTCATTGTATGTGTTATTGTTACTCTATATCCTTAAGGTGTGCTGATGAGGCAAACTGTAAGGCTAAGACCACTCTCTGAGGAGGGGGCCAGAGACCGGGCTGGAGAAGAGGGGAAGATGTCATTGGGCC